TCATTCAAAATATTAGAGAAATATAGAAGCTCAATGCGGAGAAGATCTTGATTAGGTTAAAACCGAAAACAAGCCATTCACACAGAATGCATACTCAGCGCATTTTTTTAGACGGACAAATACGAGTTGGATCCCTGCATCCATGATAAATTTCAACATAGATTTTTATATTGCTTCTACACGTATACTTGTAAAATAATGGAACATTAGGTCATGAATATTGTCTCAAAAGTCATGGAAATTTAATCAATCAATCCTCAGCCCTAAGGGGAGGAAGGTAAACATGCCAAAAATAGATGAGTGAGGAGACTTCCTCTTCCCTCTTTTTTCTGTAGCTCAAATTTGTATCTGTTTCTCCTCACCCCCTCCGTTTCCTTTGGACTAGCTATAGAGGAGTATTGGCTGCTTGATTTAGTGGCTTCAAAGTCCAAGTGTTTTATTGGTGAATCTCACAAAACCAGCTCAAGTCGTGTTTCACAAGCCTATTTACAAAACTTTTAAGATTTTGTTTGTAGATACTATTTTTTTTTATAAAATATGCGTACTCTACACCAAAAAAATTTGCAACATTTTACTACCAAATTATATGTAATATCTAATTAATTTAACTTAAACTGGAAAGTTTTTCTCGACATCTCACGATATTGAGCTTCGTGAGTTCCTATCGCGATGAATGATGGGATGTGCTTAGACATAAATACCACTCTGAAGTGATATATTATATCATCACAAATAATCCCCTATTAACCCACATGACTCCAGTCCATCAATTAACATCTTGTGAAGTGAAAAGCTGTGTGTTTGTAAGAAACAAATCCATCATCAAGATGTTTTTAACACCAACTCGTTGCTTCTGGACAAAATATGGGTCTTTTATCCATAGCATTGCTTTCTCCAGTGAAAAAGTCATCTCATATGAATCAGGAGAGAAATATGCACAGATGTAGCACTGTTTCAAACACAAGCACGGCGCAAAACAAGTATTTTGTTGGATTTTGATGTGAGAGGACAACAGGGGATTTAAAGTTAAAACATCTTGATGGATTTGTTTTGTTTCTTTACAAACATGCAGCTTTTCACTTAACAAGATGTTCAAACTGATGGACTGCAGTGCTGTGGATTATTGTGATGTTTTTATCAGCTGTTTGGACTCTCATTCTGACGGCACCCATTCACTGCAGAACATCCATTGCTGAGCAAGTGATGGAATGCAAAATTTTTCAGATCTGTTCCCATGAAGATGAGGGTGAGAGAATTTTAAAGGGATAGTTCACCCAAAAATGAAAATTCTGTCATTAATTACTCACCCTCATGTCGTTTCAAACTCGTAAGACATTCGTTCATCTTCGGAACACAAATTAAGATATTTTTGATGGAATCTGAGAGCTCTCAGACCCTGCATAGACAGCAACGCAACTGAAATGTTCCCAAGTCCAGAGACGTAGCAAGCAGATCTGTAAAATAATCAGGGGTTCAACCGTAATTTTACGAAGCTACGAGAGTACTTTTTGTGTGCAAAAGAAAAAAAAATAACGACTTTATTCAACAATTCGTCTCCTCCGCATCACCCTGTAAACAG